TTTGCTACTGTTATGTCTTAGGCAACCCCTGCAAAAGGGTCGTTCGACCCCCAAAGGGGTCGTGACCCACAGGTTGAGAACCTCTGCACTAGGTCCACAGCTCAAATGATACCCTCTGTGCTTTCCCACGGCTTACAGACCAACTCTAAGAAATCTCCCGCCCCTTCTCCAAGACCAACCAACTCCTCCCTGCAGGACCCAGCCAGGACCCTTTAGCCTCTCAATTAGGTAGCTCCCTGACCCAACTTTCCTCTTCTACAGCCAGCAATCCTCCACCTCCCTCAGACCCAGGCCAGCCAACACCACCACCATCCTCCAGGCACAGAAGCTGGCTAGCCATCTGCTCCTCAGCTTTGACAGGCCCTCCAATTTCCTGTCCTGCAAATCCCATTGTCCAAACTCACCCATTTCATCAATGAACCCCTCTCCTGCCTGAGCCCAAGATCACCCAACTCCTTCACTGCCAGGCCAACTCCTCAACCCCTCTCCCCAGCAGAGACAGACAAACTCCTCCAGACCCCTTTCTCCATATGGTCACCTCTCCATCTGAGACCCACTGACTCCTCCGGAGTAAGTCCTGGCCAGTCCTTGCAGTCCCTCTCTAAATGTCCAGGAATGAGACTCCTCCAGCCTGCAAGGGATCATCTTCTCCACCCCTTACTCAGCACAGATCAATCAGCAACCAGACTCCCAATGACCCTTTCATGACATGCTTCTCTCTCCTCAAACTCCTTCAAGACTCTCCAAGACTGCCCACAACAAACAAACAAACAAAAATGATTCTGCCTGGATAACAGCAGCTGCTGTTTATGTGGCAGGAGTGCACAAGCGTTATCTTATTTAATCCTCACAACTACCTCACGGCAGAAATTAGCACCATTTGCAGAGAGAGAGAAACAGGAGGCTCGAAGGAGAAAAACGGCTTACTCAAAGCCAGAAAGCTGGTTGCACACAGCTGCTTTTCTTCTGAGGACCTACAGACCAGAAATTTTACCCCAGCCTGTGCCAAACTCTCCAACTGCCCTACCACGACCCTCTAGCTCACAAATTAACCCTCTTCCCTTCCCCTTGCCCCAGGCTCACTGACTGACTCCCACCTCTGCCCCTTTCCTGGAAGCTTGTGAAGCAGACACATCCAGGCCCCAACCCCGTGAACCAACTCCTCTAGAATGACCCCTAAAATGACCGGTATCACCTAACATCACCCCTAAAATGACCAATAATAACTGCAATTTCACAAAGGCCCATCCTAGCAAATCACTTTTCACACACAATCTGATTTCGACCTCTCTTAAACCCTGTGGCATGGGAATTATCACCCACTTTACATATGGGGAAACGGAAGCTCAGAGGAATTAGGTTACCAGCCTGAGGTCACGAAATGGTAAATGGAGTCAGGATTTGAACTGGAGCCTCTGCTCTTCACCACCCGGTTCTGCCTCCCCCAGTCTTTCCCCCTTCCTGCTCTGAGCTCTTTGGACTGAATACCATGCCAGGGCCCATTTGGACTCTTCCCATCCTCAGCTGCAGTCCCCCAAGTCCTCCAACACAAAAGTGACCACCTGTCCCCGAGGCCTAGAGCCCAAGAACCTGGCTGGCTCCCAATGCCACAAATCTTAAATTAACCCGTCTCTTTAACAGCAACTAGCCAAACTGGCATTTATGGCGGGCTCCCTGTGTGTTCAGCTTCCAGTTACCATATTTCTCACTCTCACATCAAAGCCACCAATTCCTCCACCGTCCACAGACTAGCAACAGTTCCTCCTCTTTCCACAGGGCCAACAGACCAACTTCTCCACAGCCAGCACCAGTCAGCTCCCTCTCATTGTGGGCTCTCCACCCCAGCAAGACGGGCAGACACCTCCAGCACAGACATGGACTCACACTGCCATCCACCACTTTCCCAGCCCTCCAGCTAGCTGCTCTTTCAGTTCCAACACTGACCTGACCTTTTTCAGGGACCTACAATCCATGGTCTTGCTTCCTCTCCCAACACCTCAAGCCACCCAACTTCTTCAATGTTCTCACCTTCTACTGACCAGCAATTCCAATTCTCCGACTCTTAGAGGGGGAAAAAAAGACCCTTCTATTGCCAGGTCCCAAGTTCTTCCACTCCTGAACGACTGACAGTATCCTGCTTCTCATTTTGGGGGAGTCAGAAGCATGCAGTGACTTTTCTTCTTCTTAAAGCTCAGATCTAACACCTCCTCTGACTATCTCACCCACCCCCAAATTGACCACCACCTTTGCTTTTCTGGGAGTTTACCTTGACTCCCTTTTCCCAACCCCAGGATTGCCTGACTCCCCCAGGGCCACCGTCCAGATGTATTCCTCTTCCTCTTTGCAGGCACCCTTTGTCCCCAGGCTTGTAGACTAAGTAGCTTAACCTCTTCCCACCCCCATGGGCCCATCTGATTCTCCAACTGCCCATGCAGCACCAGTGTTGACTACTCACCCTCCTCTGACAGCTCTAACCTTTGGGGTGGGGGGTGCTATGAACTCAAAGGCTAAAGCCCACCCAATCTCCCAAGCCATCAAACGATCACATTCAGGATCCCTCGAGGCGGGGGTGGGGGGTGGGCATAAACCAGCTACTTTTCACTTTCCCAAACCAACAGCCACCCCCAGCTCTAGACTGACAGCTGCCTCCTTAAATCATCATTAGGTACAACTTTCTCGGTTCTGGGCGTTGCACCGACTCCCGAGACCCCCACGAGCCCGCCCCCTCTCCCGGGCTGTAGTTACCGTGTCTCCAAGGGTCTTTGGGCTCCACCGCTCCGGACACGATATCCTCATCGGAGGGGAACGTGACACGCTTGGCCGCAGCCTTGAGGCGCCCGTCGGCCGGGGACGATGCGGGACTGGGAGACCGGGCCTCGGCGGGGGCCTCCTCGGCGTCGCCGTCCGCGCCCGGCCCGGGCGGCGCCTCCTGCGGCGGGATCTCCATCGCCGCCGCCGCCTCACGGGGGCCCCGGGGACATGCCCCGGGCCCCGGACTCGTCTCTCCGGGCCCGCCCGCCGTCCCGGGGCATGGGCTCCGCCGCTCTTTCAGGAGCCGCCTCCGTGCGCTTCCCTGGTCGTCGTAGTCGTCGCCGCCGGGAGCCCGAGCGCGCCACCCCCGAGCTCCGCACCCGCCTGCTTGTTCGCAGCCGCACTTTCGTTAAAGGCTGGTGCGTCCACCGTGTACTAAGAAAACCAGAAAATCAATTTAAGCTATCTGGAGGTAGAGTTGCCTGACGGGTTGCTGAAGTGGGGAAACAAAAGGCAGCGAGAGCCACGGGAAAAAGAAACGTGAGCACTGAATCCGCAGAGCCGGAACTGCAGCGCAGGACGGGCGGGGCGAGATGGACGCCGTCTCCCAGAGCAGCGCGCAAGCGCGAACCTGAGCCGCCCCCACCCGCCTTCCCGCCTCCATCCGGATAAGTGGGGTTCAGGCTCGCACACATTCGTCACGAGCTCAGGCATTGCAGAAGGGAGTGGAGTTGATAGAAATAAAAAAAACAAACAAACACCTGCTTGACTGGGCTAGGTCAACTGATAAGGAGAGAGGTAAAGGGGTGGAGAACGTGAAAGGTGATAGGAGCTGTGTTGAATATATGAATACAGGTGATGGATGCTGACAGAGTGATCCTCTACCTGGAGCCCAAGTTTATGCCCCTAGTCTGTAGCCTTCTATTTGCAGACTGCAGTTTCGTCAAGAATTCTCTGTATCTGGATTGCGTTGTCTAAGATACAATTTAAATTTATAAACTAAAATAAGTATGAGTTCATGAGGAATATCATAGCCTGGATTTTAAAGGGGGTGGGGGTGGGGCGAAGGAAAGAATTCCAAAAGCAGGAGATGAATCTGCCAACCAAAATACCGAGCGATGGAGCAGGTAGATCACCAAGCCAGGAGCGAATCAGCACGAGCTCAAGCCACGCCCCCTCACGCCTTCCCACGCCCCGCCCCCCGCCGCGGCTCAATTCAGTTATTTAATATTCGCCTCGGCACTTTCGCTAGGCTTTCCCAGCCCACCCAGCAACGCGGGGCGGGGTTGGAGGAGGGGCTAAAACCAAAAAAGAGGACTTGGGAGGAGCGAGCGACATCGTTGCCAAGGCAACTCGAGAGCTAGGCCAGTGACTCGCCAGAGGTGGCGTTGTGAATGGGCGAGTGGAAGCTGAGGCTTTCCCCATGTCTTCGACAACATCGGCCGTGGCACTTTCGTGACTGAAGAGGAACGAAGCAAATCTCATGTATTTTCAGTGGAATCTTCACCTACATTCTTAAATTGATGGGATTACAAAGGGGGCAGAAATTACTTTTTAAAAGCGAATCTGCCGGAAAACTAGTGGCGGGACTAAGCAAGTGATAGGACGGCCATGCCGTACAGCTGGAGCAAAATGGAGAAAAGGTGAAGCTTCACCCTAACTCCTAACCCTTAGCCTTTCTCAATGGCGCCGCGCACAGGGTCTGACCCTTCCCCACGTGGGGAGTCGGGGGTTGGGGGTGGGGACGTAGCGAATCTGCGGTGGTGGGCGGTCCGCACCACCCCGGCAGCAGCGCACCGCGGTAACCCAGCGCGATGCAAGTCCCTTGCTAAGCACATCCCCGCCCACCCAATAAATCTAGTCCAAATCATCCAAGCCTGGTATCCAGGTCGCACCAGCCACTCCCCGAGGCTTGGGGCAGTCCAATCCCCGAACCTTTCCCAAGTTCCTCCCTCTCCTTGGCCCAGCGCCACGAGATTCAGTCCTGGACAGCTACCCTCCCACCGGCTATGTCTGGTTTCATCCCTGTGGGGTACACTAAAAAACAAACAAAACAAAAACAGGAGGCGGATTTTCCTGTAATAATAATTGGTTCTTTGGCAGGCGGGTAGTATTGTGGGATTTCTTCAGGGTGGCTGAACTTTGCAACTTCTCTAATAAACAATTTTCTTTTTTAAAATAAATGTTTTTATTGATTGTTTTAGAGAGAGGAAGGAAGAGAAAGATAGAAACATCGATGTGAGAGAGAAATATCGATAGGCTGCCTCCTGCATACCCCCTTACTGGGGATTGAGTCACCACCGGGACATGTGCCCTCACCTGGAATCCAACCGGGACCTCTCTCCATGGGACGACTGTGCTCAATCCACACCAGCAGAGCTCTAGTAAACAATTTTCTACAATGCAATTTGCCCCCTTCCCCACCTCACCCCGAGTCTTCAGGAACTGGCTCAAGACCCACATTTCTGTAGAGTTTAGAGTTCTGTGAGGTAGAGCATTCCTTTCAAGAGGATCTAGAACTCGTAGGGTTGCAGAATTTTACTGACTAGACCCTGGAGGGCTGAAGAAGTCATGGTTGCTTGGAGCTTGGTTCAAAACTCCAAGGGAGTTCCGAACTCTATGAGGCTCAGATATCCAGAATAGTTGGAGGCTTGGGAATCTGTGGCTAGGCTTAAGGCAGAAGGTGACAACAATAATGTCTTTATAACTTGAAGGTGTATGCAATAATGTCACTACACCGGAGCAGTGCCTCAGCCTGCACACCTATTGGAGTCTGCAGCTGCAACACATAGAAGTTGGCCACATCCACATCAGTGGCTCCAAAGTGGGCAGTCACATGCACACCCTCGTGCAAAGTGAAGCTCACCTGGCGACCCACCATGGCCAGCAGGCTGCGGAGGTAGCGCTCCCGAAGGTTGGCTCTTGCCTGCTGTTCCTGGGATTCCTGACATTCATGAACCAGGGAAGACTCAAGGGTTTCAGGAACCTCTGGCTTCAGGAGGGCCCTACGTCCATCAGGGGCAAAGCCTCGGCTCAAGCCGTCAGGACCCCGGGGGAGCCGGAGCACAGGCACAGGCACAGGCACAGGACTGGTCAGTGGAGTCTGCATTGTCCAGGCTGTTGGATGAAGAAGAACAAGGAACCATTACAAAGGGAGATGGGATGATAAAAGAGGGAGGATGGCGAGCAGAGGCTTGTCTACGGAACCTCAACTCAACCTATCCAAAACCAAGCTGATTCCCCTTCCTAAAATCTGCACGATCCTTCCACCAGTCCCTGTACGCCAGGAACTAATTATTTTAAAAATAGCAAGGTCATAAAAGATAAAGAAAGGCTAAGAAGCCCTGGCCAGTTTTTGCTCAGTGGTTAGAGCATCAACCTGCGGTCCAGAGATACCCAGGTTCGGTTCCCGCTGAAGGCACGTGCTTCAGTTGCAGTTTGTCCCCAGCCCTGGTTGGGTCATGCAGGTGGCAGCCACTCGAAGTGTCCCTTTCACGTCAATGTTTCTCTCTCTCTCTCCCCCTTCCACTCTATCTGAACCAAAAATGGAGAAATGTCCTCGGATGAGGATTAAAAAAAGAAAGGCTAAGAAAAAGCCCTGGCCGGGTAGCTCAGTTGGTTAGAGCATCATCCTGATACACCAAGGTTTCAGGTTCAATCCCTGGTCAAAGTACATACAAGAATCAACCAATGAATGTATAAATAAGTAGAACAACAAATTGATGTTTATCTCTCTCTCTCAAATCAATAAATAAAAAAAAATTTTTTTTAAATCCTGGCCGGTTTGGCTCAGTGGTTAGAGCGTTGGCCTGCGGACCAAAGAGTTGAGGGTTTGATTTCGGCCAAGGGCTTGTACCTGGGTTGCAGTTCGTCCCTGGCCCTATTTGGGGTTGTGTGGGAGGCAACCAGTCAATGTGTCTCTATCTCACATCAATGTTTCTCTCTCCCTCTCTCTTCTTCCCACTCTTTCTGAACAAAAAAATGGCAAAAATATCCTCAGGTGAAGATTAAAATAAAATAAAATAAAATAAAATATCTTCTAGTTTACTTTGTGACTTTATCTTAAAAGAAAAGCTGAGCCCTGGCCAGTTTGGCTCAGCAGTTAGAGCGTTGGCCCACGGACCAAAGAGTCGTGGGTTCAATTCCGGTCAGGGACATGTACCTCAGTTGCGGTTCGTCCCAGGCCCTTGTCAGGGTGTCTCTCTCACATCGATGTTTCTTTCCGCCCCCCCCTTCCTCCATCCCACTCTATCTGAAGATAAATGGAAAAATATCCTCAGGTGAGGATTAAAAAAAAAGAAAGAAAAGCTGAAAATACATACACACACACACACACACACGCACACACACACATTCAAAACCTACCACTTACTCTTTCAACTGCCAACATCTTGGTCCACCCACCATCAATCATCAATCACTTCCTGCCTGGACTATTGAAGTCAACTCCTCATAGGTTCCCCAAATACCCTTCCACCTTCACACTCCTACCCGTGTCCTCACATAGCCAAAGGGACCTGAGTCAGAACACATCCCTAGCCCTGGCTAGTGTGGCTCAGTTGGTTGGGCATCATCCCAGGCACCAAAGAGGTGCTGGTTCGATTCCTGGTGAGGGTATATGCCCAGAGTTGTCAGCTTGATCCCTAGTCGAAGGCATGCAGGAGGCAGCTGATTGATGGATGCTGCGCTCTTACATCGATGTTTCTCTCTCTCTCTCTAAAATTCAATAAAAATATATTTAAAAAATAATAAATAAATAAATAAAAGAGGTCCTGGCCCAGTAGCTCAGTTGGTTAGAGCATCATCCTAATAAGCAAAGGTTGTGGGTTCACTCTCCGGTCAGGGAACACACAAGAAGCAACCAATGAATCCACAAATAAGTGGAACAACAAACTGATGTTTCTCTCTCCTAAAAATCAATCAATTTTTTAAATTAAAAACAAAACAAAAAAACTCCACATCCCTCATCTGCTTGGAGCCTTCTGGTAGCTTAAGGCCTCCGTGTCCTGGACCCTCTTGGCACACCACGCCACGGGGCCACGCTGGCCTCTCTGCTGGCCCTCGAACACGCCTGCAGTCCCTTCTCAGGCACGCGCACTTGCAGTTCCCTCCAGTCTATCTCCTTTCCCCCTTCCCTGACCACCCAGTCTTAAAGCTTCCTCTGCCCCTCACTCATCCCTCTGCCAGCTTCGTCATTTTCAGCTCGGACCCCTCCAAACATATCGTATATTTATCGTTCTGCTTATGGTCCTTCTCCCCTAGGAGATGGCTCCCTCATCACAGGTAGCAACCTTGCTTTCCCCCTCCCCCCATGTACCCTCAGCTCCTGGAACACTGAGTGGCACAGTAACCAGGCTCCATCCAATGAATGGAGTGGAGGTTAAAGCTCCCCGGCCTGCTTAGCTGGGTGACCTCATGCAAGAGACAGTTTCCTCTTCCGTTTTATGGAGAAATAGCACCAAATGCCACCTCGGCTTGTTATCAGGATTCAACAGGGTCTGATACATACCAGGTTCTCCATAAAAGCTGGTTACAGTTCTTAGTATTGTTGGGTGACCTGGGGTAAATTGCTAAACTGCTCTGTGCCTTGGTTTCCCCATCTATGAAACAGGGAGGATAAAAGGACCACCCAGGGTTGTCATGGGGACTAAATGACCTAATAAATGTACAATGTTTAGCACTCTCCTGGAATATGACAAACACCACTGCTTTGATGTGGGCTGTATATAGAGAAATGCTGGCTTTGCGGGGAGGAGGAGGAAGAGAGAAGGACCTAGGGTTCAGGCCCCTCGTCTCTAAAGTGACTGATTAACTGGGGACCCACCACGGACCGACCCACTACCGACAAATCTGCCCAGGTCTCCTGTGCACCATGTCTGGTTCCTCCAGCATCACCGCTATGAAGAAACTGGTTCAACAGCTCTAGCTGGAGAGGCCGGCCTCACCCACCAGGTTTCCCAGGGCTGCAGATTTGAAACAATTCTGTCTGCAGAATGCTCAACATGACCCCCTGCTGATAGGAGTAATCTCTCCAGATCCAAGAAAGTCTGTTCCTTTTTGTAGTGAAATGAATCTTTGAAGGTGTTTTAAACTACTTTTCTTCAACCTCTGAATGTTCAGAGAGCTGAATTTGAAGCCTGTACAAAAAACTTATCCCTGCCCAGGCCGGTGTGGCTCTGTGGTTGAGTGTTGTCCCATGGACTGAGATGTTCTAGTTCGGTTTCCGGTCAGGGCACAGGCCCAGGTTGTGGGCCAAATCCCCAGTGGGGGGCATGCAGGTGGTGGCCAATCCATGTTCTCTCTCATCGATGTTTCTATCTCTCTCTCCCTCTCCTTTTCTTTCTCTCTAAAATCAATAAGGAAAAAATATACATTTTTTAAATTAAAAATTAAAATTAAAAAAAAGCTCCGAGGCTGTAGGATTCCGAACCTCCCAGATCAGAGAAGACTGGAAGGGCTGATAAAGCTTTGAGTCGGTGCAGCTGTGGAGGAACAGCCTCAAATCCCCTGCGGCCCGGGTGTCGATTAGGACAGCCTCAGAGAGGAAGGTTGGACAGAATCCAGGAAACTGCAAACGCCAGTCATTCAGTCCTTCTGCCCATGAAGAGCCTGGGCCGGGAGACTCTGAGTTGTCTGCCTTTTTGTACTCTTTGAATTCTGTCCCATGTATTTGTATAACCTATTCAAATAAATTTTTAATTTTTTAAAAAATTATTTTAGGGAGAGAGAGATGGAAACGTCTATAAGAGAGAACATCGACTGGCTGCCTCCTGCATGCCCCCCACTGGGGATCTGGCCCACAATCTGGGCATGTGCCCTAACCGGGAATTGAACCGGCGACCTCCTGGTGCATGGGTTGATGCTCAACCACTGAGCCACACCATCCAGGCTATTCAAATACATTTTAAATTCTAATTTTAAAAAGGAAGAGATATCCCCTGGCCGATTTGGCTCAGCAGTTGGAGCATCGGCCTGCGAACCAGAGAGACCAGGTTCAGTTCCCGCTAGGGGCACGTACCAAAAAAAAAAAAAGGAAGGGATGTATTGCAATGCTTCCATGTCCCTTAAAAAATGTTAGATTGTGCCCCAGACTGTTTGGCTCAGCGGTTAGAGCGTCAGCCTGCGGTCCTGAGAGACCTGGGTTTGGTTTCCGCGAAGGGCACGTACCTCGGTTGCAGTTTGTCCTCGGCCCTGGTTGGGTTGTGCAGGAGGCAGCCTCTCGATGTGCCCCTTTCACATCGATGTTTTTTCTCTCTCTCTCTCTCTCTCCCCTTCCCACTCTATCTGAACAAAAAATGGAAAAATGTCCTCGGGTGAGGATTAAAAAAACAAAACCAAAAACAAAACATAAACAATGAACATGGCTATGCTCCAATAAAGCCTTACTTATTCGGACACTGAATTTTTAATTTTATGTATTTCCATACACCACAAAAATTTTTAAAAACTTTTCCAACCACTTAAAAATGCAAAACCCACTCTTAGCTCCGCCATGCAGGAACAAGGGGTGGGGTCACAGCTTTCCACCTGGGAGGGAAGACAGGCATGTGGATTGGGGGAGACGGGGAGTCCTAGCCTGGGATTCACTACGGGGGCTCTGGGCAGGTCCCTGCAGCTCTACCAGCAACCTCCCTGCTCCAGTTCCTCATCTGTGACATGAAGCATAAAAAAGCCCTTCTAGGGTATTGGGAGAAGGGAGAATCTCTACGGGGAGGTTGGTGATCACAGATAAAGGATATCCCAGTGTCCGGACTCCTCACTTTCTCTACTACCCACATTCAATCCATCAGTAAAGCTTCTCAGCTCCACCTTCAAAAACGCATCCAGAATCTAGCACTTCCCCACCCCCCACTCTGCTCCCTCCTCAATCCGGCCACCAGCACCTGCCATCTGGACTACTGCAGTCGTTTCTCCACGGTCTCCTTGCCTCCACCTTCACCCCTCAGTCTCTTCCCCACACAGCTGTCAGACAGAACCTGTTAGAACTGAGTCCAATCACATCCCTCCTCTGCTCAGAGCCCTCCCCGGCTCCTGCCTCATCCAGAGCAAAAGCCAAAGCCCGTACAAAGGCGACAAGGACCCATCACCTCTCTGACCTCAACTCTCAGCCCTCCACCCTTTGCTCACTGTTAGTCCTTGAACATGCCAAGCACATTCCTGCCTCAGGGCCTTTGCACTTGCTGTTCTTGCTGCCTAGAACCGTCTCCCACATGGGAGACATACGTGTATTTCAAAAATCGTGGTTCACTCTCCTCCCTCACTTCACTCAGGTCACTGTTCAAACACCACCACTGCAGGGAGAAAAACAGTAGCCCTTTCACCCCACATTATCTTCTCTTCATAGCACCATCACCTCCTGACATCATGTGTTTACTTGCTTTCCTATGCGCTGTCTGTTCTGCCACAGAACACGGCCTTTGAGAGAAGGAACCCATCTGATGACTTCACAACTCCATCCCTAGCCCCACTTAGGGCCTGGCACAGGGGGAGGTCCGTGAATATTCATTGAAGGAATGTAAAGGTTCACCCATCCACATTATCTGAGTGCCTCCTCTGTGCCCAACCCACACTGGATGGAGCTGGGGACACAGCTGTGACTGGAACAGCCCGGCCCTGCCTTCATAGGCTCACTGTCCAGTGGGTGACACAAACTTGTCTCTAGACAGTGATGACCCCCGAGTAGGCAGGGCTGGAATGAAGGAGCCCCAGGGCCTCAGGAGCCCAGAGGGACCGCCTGGCCCAGCCTAGGGGGCAAGGGGTGGTTTCCAGAAAGCAGGGCGTTTACGGGAGATCTCTCTATAAGGCCGCCAGTGAGCACAGACCTAAATGAAATAAGGAATCCAGCCACGTGGAGATCTGGGGGGGAGCCTTCCAGTCAGCGGAAGCAGCAAATGCAAAGACCGAGGAAGAGTGACTGAGGCTTAGCAAGGCCAGTGGGGAAGAGGTGGAGGCAGAGGCAGAACGTTCGCTGAGCCAAACTGGCCAGGGCTAATCTGAGCACTTTTTGAACCCCACTGTTACCAGCCCATCCCAGGCACCATCGTCATCTATCCGGACCACTGTGGTGCCTTCCTCACCGGACTCCCTGCTTCTGCTGTGTCCCCTACTGTCCATTCTCCGTGCAGCAGGCGGAGGGATCCTGTGAAACCAAGGTCAGGTCCTGTCCCTCCGCTTAGAGCCTCCCATGGCTCCCCTCTCATCCAGAGTAGAGGCCCAAGTTCTCACCGGGGTCCTCAGGACCCCGAGGACATTTTTACATTTTTGTTCAGATAGAGTGGGAGGGAGAGAGAGAGAGAGAGAGAGAGAGAGAAACATCGACGTGAAAGGGACACACCGAGTGGCTGCCTCCCGCAGGACCCCAACCAGGGGCGGGGACAAACTGCAACCGAAGTACGTGCCCCTAGCGGGAACCGAACCGGGGTCTCTCTGGACCACAGGCCGCCGCTCTAACCACTGAGCCCAACCAGCCAGAGCCATTTTCTATCTGACCACTGCACTCCTAGTTTAATCAAGGATCATCAGCCCCCCAGGGCTTTCCCACAACTTAGGTTAACACTTGAGGGTTTTAAGAGAAACACCCTAGAGTCTCCAGGATTAGTACTTAATAAAGGATTTATAGAAATTAAGCAAGTGGCCCTAAGGACTGGGCCATTTAAATTAAATCCCTGGGCCCTGGCCGGTTTGGCTCAGCGGTTAGAGCGTCGGCCTGCAGTCCTGAGAGACCTGGGTTCGGTTCCCGCTAAGGGCATGTACCTCGGTTGCAGTTTGTCCCCGGCCCTGGTTGGTTGTGCGGGTGGCAGCCACTCGATGTGTTCCTTTCACATCGATGTTTCTCTCTCTCTCTCTGTTCCTCTCTCTCCCTCCCACTCTACCTGAACAAAAAAATTGAAAAATGTCCTCGGGTGAGGATTGAAAAAAAAAAAAAAAAATTAAAAAAAAATAATAATAATAAATTAAATCCCTGGCTAAAACAAAATTCAGTGCAGGGCCTTGTTCTCTCCATTGGGGGGCAGGGGTGGGTAACAGATTTGGTCATACTAGTGCGGTCCCCATTTTCCTGAGAGGAAAATGGAGCTGGGAGATGTCAGATCATTTGCTGGGAAAGGGAGCGAGTGGCAGGAAAAGGCAGCAAACCCAGGTGGGACTGATCACATCATTGCCCCTGCCCTGCGCAGAATGGCATTTTTTTTTCGGCCAGCACAAGGGAACCCTTGGAGGTTTGGAGCCAAGGTGTGACCCGAGAAAATACTGGTTTGATCGTCCCCCAAGAATGTGGCTGCAGAAGAGAGGACAGACAGCCCCCAGCCCGGCTCTGGCAGAAGCCACACCCCCAAAGCCAGAAGAAATGGAGGCACCCCCAATATCCAGGTGTGCTGAAAGTGGAAACCATCCTCGACAAAGTGCAAAGGCTGGAGCAGGCTGTGGACAACTTGCAAGGTAGGAAGACAGACAAAAAGTACCTGATGATAGAAGAGTATTTGACCAAAGAGCTACCGGCTCTGGATTCTGTAGACCCTGAAGGATGAGCTGATGTCCCTCTGGCCAGGAAAGACGGTGCTAAGAAAGTTCAGGACCATCCTGAAAAAACACAAGAGGAAAGCAACATGTCCCAGGGCGAGTCCAGGTTTATGAACTCCAGCCCAGCTCCCTTGAAAGCGATCAGCCACTGCAGGGAATCATGGGTGCCAAGGCAGCAAACAACAGTAAGGAGAGTGCCAGAGCCCTGGCCGGTTTGGCCCAGCGGTTAGAGCATCGGCCCACCAACCAAAGAGTCGCGGGTTCAATTCTGGTCAAGGGCATGTACCTCGGTTGCGGTTCGCCCCCAGCCCCCCAGCCCTGGTAGGGGTCATGCAAGAGGCAACCAGTCGATGTTTCTCTCTCACATCGATGTATCTCTCTCTCTCTCTCTCTCCCTCCCTCCCTCCCTCCCACTCTGTCTGATGATATAGAAAAAAAAGAAGAGTGCCCCAGAAATGGGGAAGATCCCCAAACTGAAACCCAGCAGCCAGAGATGCCAAAGCAGGAGTCACTCCAAACCCCAGGACAACAGACACAGCTGGTGACCCAGCAGCACCATAGTCTTGATAAAAAGCTACTCCTGATTGTGTACATTAGGGAATTCTAAATTGCACACATTTCAGGGACTTTAAATCAGTTGGTTTTTACTATTCATAGCTACTTGGTACTCAGTAACTTGGGTAGAGGCAAAACAATAAAAGGGTTAAAAGGAAAAGTACGCTTTTCTTTAGTATTCTTATTCTATATAATTAAGAAATTGCTGGTTTCGCCCTGGTTGATTTGGCTCAGCAGTTAGAGCGTCGGCCTGTGGTCCAGAGAGACCCTGGTTCGGTTCCCGCTAAGGGCATGTACCTGGGTTGCAGTTTGTCCCCGGCCCTGGTTGGTTTGTGGGGGTGGCAGCCACTCGAGGTGTCCCTTTCACATCGATGTTTCTCTCTCTCTCTTCTCTCTCCCTCCCACTCTATCTGAACAAAAAATGGAAAAATGTCCTCAGGGGACGATTAAAACAAAACAAAAAAAGAAGTTGCTTGTTTCAAAAATTTAACAACATCACAACATGTTTCGGGCCCTTTCTCTGCATGGGCACCACAAGTTAGCCATGGTTGTGAGCCGTCTTCCTGTTGCTCTGGACTGGAGGAGTTTTTGGGGGCAGATGGAGAGTTGATTTCCCATCACATAAACATGAAACTCATTTTTCAGAAATGTTGCCATTTTAATGGGATGATTTTCTTCATCTCATAGCTAAAATACCTAACTTTAGATAGAATAAAATGTGTAAGGAGTCAGTTATATCTGTATTTTGGATGACTTTAATGCTACATTTTAAAAATGGAAAATAAAGTAATAACACAGGAAAAAAGCAAGCGACTTGAGAAAGGTCACATAGGTAAAAGCAGGTAAAAGCAGGCATTATCCACTCTTCCTGGTGACCAGACCCTAGAGTCCTTTATCCTTTTAGTCTCAAAGCCAAGGATTTACTGCTGAAAGGTTTCAAACCCATCCCCCACTACTTGAAAAACTAATTCGTTTGACTTAAGAGCCCACCACTGGGGTCAACAGCAGAGGCAGGAGGCTCACTGACTTTCCTCCTTGAGGCCTCAGTACTCACTTTCAAGAAAATGGGAATGGATCAGATCTGCGGACAAATGTTTAGCCAACTCTTTAATTGCCCGGTGGGGAACCAGCTGAGTTACCAGGTTAACAAGGAGGCCCCCAGACCTAGTTAACCAAGGTGGTGCCATGTCCACCCACACCCCATGGGCTGCCCCATCTGGATGCATATTAGTTCAATGGGGCCTTCTGAGGTTCTTCCCCTCCCCATCAGCCCCTGGGCAGGTCAGTTTCCTTTCAATTCCTCCCTGACCACCCATCGCTCTGCTTTTCTTATACTAAGTAGGTCCTCCCGGCCCCCAGGCGTCCACTCCCCACTCCGCCCAGGGCTGGACATTCTTCCCACCTCCCAGCACGGATTAGGCCCGCGATTCCACCCCTGGAACGGGGTCTGCTGACTGCTGCCGTTGTTACTGTTATCGTCCTTGTTAGGCTCCACGCTCCCCCAGCTCCCCCGGCGCGGGAACGTCCCCTGCGTCCCAACCACGAGTCGGCGGTGCGGGCGCTCGGGGCCCGGGGCGTCACCGCAGCCGGCGCGGCGGACGCAGATCTGCCTTTTCCCCAGCACTGCCCCGCGGGTGGGCGCCCCGGGCCAGGGCCGGGGAGAGGGAAGGTGCTCGCCGCCCACCACCGCCCCGCACTCACCGAGGTCTGCGTGCTGGCGCCCCACTTCCGCCGGCGTCCCAGCTGCAGAGGCTCGGGCGGGCCGCGAGTCGCCAGCCTGTGTTCCGCCGCGGCCGCCACCGCCCCACGTGGTCGCGGAAAGGCTCGCGGGCTGGGAAGCCGGCACAGCCCGGCGCTGGCGGCGTGGTCGGCGCTTCGATCTCATACACTGCCTGCCGGGTCGGGGCGTCCAGGATGCCCATTTTATGGAAGAAGAAATTGAGCCTCAAAGAGAGGTTAAAGGCAGAGCTTGGTCTTTGCCCCTCCCCCCACTCCCCTACACGTGCACACTCCTACCCTCTCCTCCAGTCCCAACCCCACCTCCCTCACTTGAAACCTTGAGATCATGCTCTAAGCAGCCAGGCACCAGAAAAAGCCTTGGAGAGCAGCATTTGGAATAAAGCAGGGGCAGCCGGTTTGTCTTGCAGCCTTCCCTGAAGTCCCCTTTCACAAAGCGGGAAACAGGCCCTGAAAGGCAGCCCGACTGTCCCCGGGTGCTGAGGAACCTCGCTGCTCTGGGCTCAGACAGAATTCACTTCTTCCACACGGTTTCACTAGGCAGGGACTTTGTGGGCCTCTGCTTCCCACTAGATCCCCAAGGCCTAATTGGCACAGTTAGGCCCCCTGACAATATCTATCGAAAGCATGCGCATTGCAGGAGCTCCATACATATTTGTTGCCTGAACTATGAAGGAATAGGGGCTCTGTTTGTGAACAAGACAGACTGCTCCTGCTCTCTCATAACTGCTTTCTAGGGGAGCTGGGAGGGGCAAAATAAGGTATATACATGAGTGAATACATCAACAAGATCCTTCGGGGTTTGATGGGAATAAAATAAAGGTAGTGAGATAGCGGGTCAGCTTCTTTAATTGTGTGGTCAGAAGGTGGCAGTGAAAAACCCAATTTAGGTAACATCTGGGGAAGTTGAGGCACAGGAGGGGACTGGGGGCAGATGGAGGTCATGGATTGTAAGTGTAAGTCTTTAGCAGAGTGGGGCTACTTGTGGTACCTTGGTCAATTGGGCCCTAGGCCCTCAGCCTGGGCCTGGGGTTCTCAGGAGGACAGTTCAGCCCAAACAGAGACCTGAATAACAAAACAAGGAACCTTGAGGCCAGGAGCAGCACAGATTAGTAAGAGTGCTGGGCTGGCCGTCCGGTTTGGCTCAGCGGTTGGAGTGTTGACATGCGGACCAGAGAGTCCCAGGTTCAGTTCGCGCTAAGGGCACTTACCAAATAAATAAATAAATAAAAAAGAGTGCTGGGCTGGGAACTCTGGGTGAGGACAGACTCCTGCCCTGACTTCAGCGGGGCTTGTACAGGGTGGGGGAGAGGACAGTCAAGAAACCGTTCTGTTATGATGTGGTCCGTGCCAGGAAGAAAAGAAAACTTGTAAGGGTTGGAGGGTGGGGCAGGGTGTTGATGCCACTTCAAACAGTGATCTGAAAGAGCTGCTTTGAGGAGGGAAGTTCAAGGAGGCCCAAGTGGAGGGAGGTAAGACAGATGGCTATTTGGCTTGCATGGCTATTCTAGGTGTAGGAGCAGAGTAGGTACGTATATGATCACAGTTCTCTTCTGCTCAAATCCCTTCCAAGGCTCGCCTCTCCAAAAACCAAGACTTTCAAATGGTCAAAACACCCGCTTGGCCCTGGCCAATTTGGTTCAGCAGTTAGAGCGTTTGCCTGTGGTCCAGAGAGACCTGGGTTCGGTTCCCGCTAAGGGCATGTACCTCGGTTGCAGTTTGTCCCAGGCCCTGGTTGGGTCGTGCGGGTGGCAGCCACTTGATGTGTATCTTTCACGTCGATGTTTCTCTCTCTCTCTCTCTTCCTCTCTCTCCCTCACGCTCTATCTGAACAAAAAATGAAAAAAAAAAAAAAAGTCTTCGGGTGAGGATTAAAAACAAAACAAAAACCCTCTTGCAGCTGACCCCATTTTCTCACAGAACTCAATCACCATCCCCAACCCCTTCCCTCTACTGTCCCCCTCAGTCCCCCTCATTATTCTTGAACACAGAGGCCGGCTGCCTCCCATACCTCCCTCAGCTCTCAATTCCACCATACCCTTCCCTGGTGTGGGGAGAAAACTGAGGCCCCCCTACCCATCACCCTGCCCCTTTACAACCCTTCCTAGTTTTGTTTGGCTCTAGGTGACACTTGTCACCCTGGAAGGCACTCTGTATTTTACATATTTATCTTGTTGAGAGTCATCTCCCCAAACCAGTAAACTGGGGGAGACCAGGGATTATTGTCTGGTTCACTACTGTACCCCAAGTGCTTAGCACAGGACCTGGTGCACAGTAGGCGCCCAATAAATGTTTGCCCAGTGCATTGTTATGCACTTACTGAAAGAGTCCAGATTATTGTTAGGCGCCTAGTTAGAAACGTGGCCCCTACCATTTTCTCACTCGGGGGTTTTCGTGGGGATCCTGTGCCTCAGTTTCACCAGCCCTAAAACGGGATCTGAAATAGCTGTTTCTGTGCATGGCTGTGTGAACTTTGTGTCATTAAGGTGTGGTCACTAAGCCAAACACAGCGGGCACGGACCTGATTGAGTTTGGCCTCCAGCAGGGCCCCTGCGGGCAGCCCCATCTTCTTCCAGCAGGCCCCGCCCCAGTGGGCGGAGCCATGGGCCAGGCCAGCACGTGTAAAAGTTCGCGGCCAGTCGCCGCAGTCACTCACCTGAGCGTCTCGCTCTGAACGCACACGGCTCGTGCGTCTTCCGCCTGCCAGCCCTCCAGCTAGCCAGATCGTCCGGACCGCGACCCATGTCCCGCCGTAAGGTCGGCTGCACGCCCCGCCGAGTAGACCCCGCGCCCGCCGTCAGCTCAGACGACGAGACGGAGATGCCGGACCTGGTTATCGACTTGAAGCCCGAGCCAAATCCGTGGCCCCTACAGGCCCCGGGGCTGCAGCCTTATTCTTCAAAGGAAGTGCCCGCGCCTGGAACGTTCGAGGGCGAACCCCGCTACTCCTCCGACCTGGGGGTGCCCGCCGGCGGTCCCCTCCACGCCCTTGGCTCGCCGAACGAATGGGCGCCGTGTACTCCGCCGTTCCCGAATCCCCCCGGTAAGAGCCCCCTGTCGCGGGCCCCACTGCCTTCCCCTTTCACTCTCGAGTGGGACGCCCTCCTCTGGGCGCCTCTCCACGTCCCCTGTCCTTTGCCCCCTGCCTGTGCCATATTTCCTTGGCTGCGTCCTGGCCCCCTTCTGACCTCCGGGTTTCCCCTCTCCCTCGGAACCCCCAGCCACGTTCTGGCCCCACCCCACGTTCACCGCCCGCTTCCTCCCTGCAGACCGCCAGCCCTGGACCGACAAACACCCTGATATGTTGACCTGCGGCCGCTGCCTGCAGACCTTCCCGCTGAAGGCCATCACTACTTTCATGGACCACAAGCAGCTGGGTTGTCAGGTCTATGGAGGCCCCAGCCCTGGCCCGGGCTCAGGTGAGTGAAGCTGGGTTGCAGCCCCCTCTCAAGTTCAAGGGCCCGGCTTCCTGTGGGAGAAGGGGCTGAGCTGGACAGGCGGGGCAGTGAGCACTACTTCCCTTTTCTGTCTCCCCATCGGGTGCAGCCTAGGCGTGGCCAGGGCCTGCCTTGTCCTAGGGCTGGGACTAGTGGTGGTGAGGGGGTGGGGGCGGGGCTGGGCAGGGAAGGAGGGTGGCCCACAGGGTGTGGCCAGCCCCAGAAGACTGGTCTGGGGATTTGCCACACATGCCCCCCCCCCCCAATCTGGTTTCACTTCTCCTTCCCCTTGGCCAGAAATAACTGGCCAGGTGGCTGGACCAGTGTGGTAGGAGGGGGGACCCTGGGGAGGACAGTGGCCTGGGGGAGGGGTGGACTGAGGCCAGCTGGAAGGGAGGTGTTGCCCCCATCCCCTTGGAATGTCCCAGCCCTACTTGCTGGGAAGCCCCTGCTTTGAGCCAGGTCCTCCTGTCTGGGCACCTGGGTTCCTTCTCTTGGGATGGAATTAAACTTAACATGGTACTAGACACATGGTGAGATTTTGGTCAGTGCTGGCCGTGGGGCTTATTCAAACCTGTGATTCCCAGCCCCCGGCCTATGTGCTCCTGAGGTTCTTGCGAAAGGGCTGGGCCACAGGGAGGGTCCTGTAGTGAGAGGAGGAGCTGTGATTGAATCTGCTGCTGAGTGGGAGCAGGGAGGGGCTGTGATGGAATTACTGGAACAAAACGCTGAGACTCTTGGAGGATTGCAGGCTCAGCCCCGCTAATGTGTGATGAGTTTACATGGACCCAAACTCTCAGTTGTTCCCCACTTCAGGTCATAACACCCTAAAAGGGAGAAGGATCCCATATTCTAGCAAATGTAGAAACTGAGGCTCAGAGAGGGGTATTTCTTTTTTTTAATATTTTTTTCTTTATTGATATTAGACAGAGAGAGGGGAAGGGAGAGGAAGAGAGAGCAACATCGATGAGAGAGAACATCAGTTGGCCGCCTCCTGCATGCCCCACACTGGGAATCAGGCCCACAACCTGGGCATATGCCCTGACCTGGAATCGAACTGGTGATCTCTTGGTGCATGGGTCAATGCTCAGCCACTGGGCCACACTGACCAGGTGGATATTTCTATTTTTTAATATGTTTTTATTGATTTTTGTTGTTCTTAATCCTCGTCCAAGGATTTTTTTCCCCATTGATTTGTGTGTGTGTGTGTGTGTGTGTGTTGTTTTTTTGAGAGTGGTTGGAGGGAGGGGGAGAGACAGACACACACATCAATTGGGTGCCTCCTTCCTGCACACGCCCCAATCAGGGTAACCTGCAAGCTTTTGGTGCACAGGATGATGCTCAACCAAGCCACACCAGCCAGGGCAAGAGGGGTTATTCTTGCCTAGGGTCCCACAGCTAGGCAGGAGAGTCAGGTTGAAGTCAGGCCAAGTGGACCCTCTGCAGCCCGACCGCACTCTTGACCAGTGGTGTTGCACTGGGAAAGCCAAGACTGTCTCGCATTTGTAAAATAAAGGCAAATAGATGGAAACCCCAAGTCCACCCCTTCCAAGCTATATGACCCTGGGGAAATGTGTCTTTGCCTCCGTTTTCCTGTCTGGAAAATGTAGGTCTTTTCTGAAGGAAAGTTCAGAGTGCACTGAAATAGCACTCCCCCGCCCCTCACTCTGCTCTAACTTTTTTCCCTTTCTCAAAGATTTTTTCTTTTAAAATTGAGAGAAACTTGGCTTGTTGCACTTATTTATGCATTCATTGGTTGATTCTTGTATGTGCCCTAACTGGAGATCGAACCCACAACCTTGACATATGGGGACAACGCGCTATCCAACTGAGCATCCTGGCCAGGGCCTCTTGAAGATTTTCAAACACACAGAAATAACCCTCACATACTCATCATCCACTCCAGATTTTTCTTGCTTCCTGTCCATCCACCCACCTCCCTGAACATCAGCTTCCTGAGGACAGGGAGTTTCCCTGTCCCCTTACTGTTCTTAGGCCCTGGAACAGTAAGTTTCCCATGGAATGTGTCCCCTGGCAGCTTTGGCTTTTACCCATCACACTAACACCCAGCTCATCTCTCTGCAGAACTTGAGAACCTGAAGGCCTTGATTTGCCTCCGTTGTGGCCGACAATTCACTAAAGCCTGGAAACTGCTGCGTCACGCCCAGTGGGACCATGGACTGTCCATCTACCAAACGGAACCCGAGGCCCCAGAGACCCCGCTGCTGGGCCTGGCAGAGGTGGCCGCAGCCATGTCAGCAGTGCTGGGGCCAGAAGTAGACGCCAAGGGCTCCCGGGTGAGTAGCCTCCCCCGGCGGAGCCCCACCTGCCCTGTGTGCATGAAGACCCTTAGCTCCTTCAGCAACCTAAAGGTGCACATGCGCTCACACACGGGTGAGCGGCCCTATGCCTGCGACCAGTGTCCCTATGCCTGTGCCCAGAGCAGCAAGCTCAACCGCCACAAGAAGACCCACCAGCAGCTGCAGCCTCAGAGCCCCTACATGGCCAATGCCAGTCAGGAACAGGCCTCAGCCGCCCCTCCAGAGCCAGCTGCCCATGCCGCTGCCCCTCCAGAGCCAGCTGCCCATGCCGCTGCCCCAGCCAGCGCCCTTCCCTGCAGCCGCGCAGGGGCTGGAGCCGGAGCCGCCGCCACCGCAGGTGTGCAGGAACCTGGGGCTCCAGGTGGAGGAGCTCAGGCTGGCCCTGGTGGGGACGGCTGGGGAGTAGCCATCAAGGAAGAGAGAGTTGACTCCGCCCAGAGCCCAGAGAAGTTACCCAAGAACCCAAAGCCAGTGGGCAAGAGCCATGGGCCTGGGGGCAGCTGTGAGTTCTGCGGGAAGCGTTTCACCAATAGTAGCAACCTGACGGTGCACAGGCGCTCACACACCGGGGAGCGGCCCTACACCTGCGAGTTCTGCCCCTACGCCTGTGCCCAGAGCAGCAAGCTCAACCGCCACCGCCGCATGCACGGCCTGGAGCCTGGCAGTGCCCGATTTGAGTGCCCCCACTGCCGTGTGCCTTTCGGCCTGCGAGCCACCCTGGACAAACACCTGCGGCAGAAGCACCCCAAGGCAGGCGGGGAGGCCTGAGTGGCAGGAATGCCCTCCCTTCCTGCTGTCCCTGGTACCACTGCTGTCTGTTGATCTTGTCCTGCAGTGAATAAACCCTCCCGCCCTTTAGTTATACACGTGTGGACTTTGCTTTCTCAGGGCATCTGAGGTGGGGCGGGAGGCTTCCCCTCCTTGGGGTGGACGGCTGGACAGACCGGTTTAGAATGAGGGGGTGAGGGGAAAGGCCAGCCCCCAGTGCCTGTGGCACAGCAGGACTGGCACAGAAAGCCGTGCTCCCGGTTCCCGATGTGGGCGAGGGCAGGGAGAGGCCTGGACCTGTCACCAGAGGCCCTGGGCAAAGTCCTGGCCCATCCTCCACATGTGGGTGCTGGGCCCTTTTCCTACTGGATGGAGCCCCTGCCCTCATTGAGCCGCAGGCATTAGATGCAGCCAGGCTTCCCACAGAGGCAACGCTGGCGCCTGTTCCCTAAACCCAGTTAAGTTCCCTCCCCAGCCTGCACGGCTGGCTGGTGGACAGTGGGGTTTGGGAGCACTGCACCCAGCACATGGATGACACTGAGGGCACGTGAAGGGAATTAAATAACGTTTATTTCATTAGAGAACAAAACCAGCAGCATCACAGCTTGAGCCCTTACCCTATCCCATCCCCTCAACCCCGAAGCTTCAGCCTAATGTCGATAATGCGGACTGCGAGATCTGGACCTTGAGCGCCTGCAAAGAAAACGGGAGGGGCCCCATGAGGGATTGGGCAGGTGCACATGCACTCACACACGGGTGAGCGGTCTTATGCCTGCAACCAGTGTCCCTATGCCTGTGCCCAGAGCAGCAAGCTCAACTACCACAAGACCTGCACATGCGTACACATGTATACAACATGCATCTACACTCTTGGGGACCACTGGGACTACATGGTCAGGAGTCAGCTGTGGTGGGAGGGAGGTTTCCAAAGGAGGAGGCAGCCCTACAACTGAAGGGTGCAGAGTGGAAATGGATGAATGCAGCCCAGATCTCCTGCCACAGGCCAACTGATTTCCCAGGGAGCTAGTCTGGCTGACTTACCTTCGAGAAGAGCTGTATTCTCGACCTAGAAAGGAAGGAGGAGGTGAGGACAAAGCAAATGCCCAGAGCCAGGAGCCAGAGGCCAGGCCCAGGGCTGGACTTCTGGCGCCATCTTCAGCTGAGGCTCCACCAGTCTGTCCAATGATGGGGCCACAACCTGTGCCGCCCACCCACATCAACAGGCTGGGAAGGAGCATTTCTTCCATCTCCTGCAATTCTCTTGTGACTGAAACAGTACTGTGTGTGTGTATCTTAAGAGTTTTAACATATGAAAGACTAACATGATAATATCCCATGGTTTTTTGTAATTAGTTTTGACATGTTTTAAAAATATGTTATTAGTTTTTTAGAGAGAAAGAAAGAGGGAGAAATAGAAACATCAATTGGATCAAATACCTCCCGCATGCCCCCTACTGGGGATCAAGCCCGCAACCCGGGATGTGCCCTGACCAGGAATCAAACTGGTCATCTCGGTGCATGGGATGATGCTCAATCCACTGAGCCACACTGGCTGGGCTCAATTCTCTTTTTTTAATGCCCCAGAGCCTCCAGCCCAGCTCTCCTGGCCCAGTGACCACGGGACACTCACTGTAACGGGGGGAGGGTGAGCGGCTCTGCCGGCTGTACTGGCGTTCCCATTCTTCTCTCTCCTTCTCTCGGCGTTCCCGCTCCCTGCAGGGAAAAGGGGAGGCGACCCAGGAAAGGGTGAGTACGTGGCCCAGAACACTGAACTGCCGTGCTGCTGGGTCACCTGTCCAGGACAGGTGTTTCTGACATCCTAGAAACCATCCCATTGGAACGAGAGGGGATGCTTGCCGGGCAGAGCCAGGACCCCAATCCGTCAGCCTTGCTATGAAAGGCTCGCTGAACAAACAGAAAGGAGGGTGCATGGTTCAATCATCTCCCATTCCACTCGGGGTACAGTCCCAGTGCACAGGGACTTACATGCTAAGTGCTTAATTGGTTTTTACCAGAATGACCGGGATTTGCCATCCTGAAGGCAACATTTACTGGGTACCCTCTCCTGGCTGAGGTGGCACAAGGATTCCATCCCTATTCAGTAGCTGAGCAAACTGAGACTAAGATAGGAGAAAGGCCCACAGATGGTGAGTAGCAGGATCAGAACCCAGGTCTGACAGATAAAACCGAGTCTTGCGGCACTTTGCCCCGCACCTCCTAATGGAAGCACACAGCATCCGTGGAAACCCAACACACAACAGGTGTGTAATAAATAACGACCATGACAATGACTAACAGCAGTGGTGTTGGCACCGGACCTTCCTATGTGCCAGGCACCACACTGGGAGCCTCATGGCAGGATCCCGCCAAGGTGAGAGCATGATTGTGTCCGTCTCAGAGGAAGGAGTCCAGGCTCAGAGGTTACACTGCTTGTCCAAGGACCCACCACAAGTACAGGGTGGAAACAGAAATGGGTCACAGGCAAAACAGCCCTGCCACTGACTGACTTCCCTCCTTGCCAGTACAGAGCACTACAGCCTCCAATGTGGCCCTGGGTGAGGGCTTATGTTCTGGGGGGCCAAGTACACAGCAGCAAGCCAGCAGCCGGACCAGGCATCTCAGTGGGGACACCGACAATAAGCGAGCAAACCAAACAGACTGCACGCCGGGTGAGGGTTAGTGCTATAAAGCAGAAAGAGCAGGGCTGGAGGACGGAGCACTTGGCAGTGCACTGGATGGTCAGGGAGGAGATTCCCCAGGTGGAGTGAGGGAGATGACCAGATGAGGACCTGGGGAAGAGCTTGCTGGGCAAGAGAACAGCAAAGGGAATATGAGCTGGAGGCTGGCAGAGCAGCAGGGCTGCAGTGGCAGGTAAGCTGGAATGGAGGGAGGAAACAGGGCCAGGCAAGGGCTCTGGCAGGGCTATCGCTCAAAGCTGGGTGGCGGGGAACGAAGGGGATGGGGTGCTTCCCAGAAGCAGGTGGCTGTGGCCCTGATACAGGGAGCAGGACAGTCTTACTTCATACGGATCTTGCGGGCCATGGCGCGAAGCTCGTCTTCCCGCTCCTGAGGCAGAGATGACAGAGATGGCAGAGATGGCAGTGAGGGCTGGCCCAGCTGGCACCTGACCCGAGCCCCACCCCTCACTCCACCCTTACCTGCCGTTCATGCTCCTGCTGTATCATCTTCTCCTGAGCAGCCTTCTTATCCGCCTTGACTATGGGGAGAAAGGGACATGGTAGCTGAGGGATACCTCAAGAGCCCTCCAAGCTCGGAGGATCAACCAGCCTGCCAAGGCCCTGAGCATGGCGGCAGCAGGGCAGTGTGCACACGCAGCCCTCCCCAGAATGCCGCCCCACGAGGCCAGGCTGGAAGGAGGGAGCTAGGAAGACCTGGGGGACAGATAGGGGACATACACTGCCTGTTCAGTGCCTTCTGCATCCTCAACTTCAGCTTCTCCTGTGGCGTCAGCTTGGGCTGGGGAAGGGGTAAAAGAGGCAGGAGAGGGGGTGGGTGTCCCGGAGTTCCCACAACCCACCTCATCGAAAAGCTTGGGACTTTTAGGGGCATGTGGGGAAGGACAGGCTGTGGACACCTGCCATGAAGGTCTGGAGGCCCAGGGACAGATAGAGCCCTGGTGAGCAGCGAGGAGGAGAAGGGGTCATGGATTTCGTGGGGGCAGAGCCCTTCCAGCCTCCCTCAATCCCCGGGGCTGGATCTCCCGGCCCACCCGGGCCCCCTGCAGGCCCACCGGGCCCAGCACTCGGGCACTGCTGCTGGCGGGAGTTAGACGGGCGAGTTCCAAATTCTTACTGACTTTGGCAGCTCCTGTCTCTTTACCAGCGGCAGGTTCAGTCCTGGGAGGGGGAAATAACACCTGACATCTGTGACCCAACAGAGCCTCAGCACTCCCCTCAGCCTGAGTCAAGGCCATGGGTCTCAGATGCCCCCAGGGAGATACCCTGTCCCTCTCAGATCTCGCAGGCCTGGGCCATGACTCGCTCTGACCCATCACCCAAGGCAAGGCCCTCCTCAGACCCACCCTCCCAGGTCAGGGCCCTGTTCCCCTCAGACCCGCCAGGGAAGAAGCAAGTTCCCGTCAAAAACAGCCACGTCCACCCCCACCTCAGGCTGGCAACCCCCTTCCCCTAGCCCTGCGCCTGCTCACTTTTTCAGCTTCTCGCCCACAGCAGGGGACGACGCCGGCCTGGTCAGCTTCTCCCTTGGGGGTGATGGCGAGTGACTCTGGCTGCGGCTGCGGCTTCGGCTGCGGCTTCGGCTCTGGCTCTGGCTAGGGCTGCGGCTCCGAGTCAAGCTGCGACTTCGGGATGGGCTGAGGGACCAGCTGCTGCGGCTGCGGCTGCGGCTGCGGCTGCTGCTGTGGTGCCTGGGGCCCCGGCCACCCCGCCTGTACCAGTCCCCTGAGCGGGAGCGGCTCCTGGAGGCACAGCAGGGCAGGAGAGGGGTCACATGAGGCTCCAGAGACTCCATTTGCACCCCGCCCCCGCCCCCACGCCCAGCTCTGAATCTATAGTCCTGCGAGGCCCTGCGGCTGGTCCTGGTCCGGGTGACTCCACTTCTCTCCCGCTCCTTTTCCTCAGAAATCCCAGCTGCTCCCTGGCCTCGCTGTCTTAACAGAGACCACCTTCTACATACAACTACCCTAAAACCAACTAGACACACATTCACCTACCTCGCTGGGAGGTGACCTCTGGGAGGGTGGGACCTGCCTGGTCAGCTCCCCCTTTACACACTGTGCCCAGCCCTGGGCACCCAGGAGCCACATACTTATTCTTGTCAAGACCCAGGGTCTCACACCAGTGGGGACCAACCCCTCGCCCCACTCCCCACCAGGCTGCAGCACACGCCTTACAGACCCGGTTTGGGGATGAGTAGCCTCGACCTCTCTGCTTGGGACCCTCGCACTCCTCAGGGAGGGCTCCCTGACAGGCTGGCATTTGGCATGTGACTAGCCCTTCTCCAGCCTTTCTCCTATTGTTGCCCCGGGTCAGCCTACAGGGAATGACCTGCAAGCCAAATCAAGGCCCCACACTAATTCTGTTGGGGCTGTCCTGAGTTTTT